AATATATCATATATGTATAATCAGTATATAATATTGGCTACGAAAAGTTATGAATAGTAAATATATTTGTGTGAATTAAGATCTTTTTTTAGAAACCAAGGAAATTTTCGATTTTAGTCCTTGAAATATTTACAATTCTGATTTTGGTTCCTATTATATCTACAGTTATGCATATTCGATCTTCAATTTTTTAAAATATACACTTTTGGTCTTTTTTTCTTGTGGATCTGCCTTTACGATATTTACTATATTTCGTATGTCTCGAATATAGCACGTTTGTCCCCTTTAGTTTTTACTACATGAAATTTATAATTTGTCATTTGAAATTTCGTTACGAGTCGAATAGTTTCATATAGGAGCCTAACCTATTTTCTGCATTCAATTCTAGTTGTTTCTATATCTTATATATAATCGACCTGAAAAACATATACAAATCTCTTCTAATTAATTTGCTATATAATGTCTTAAATTTTACAAATAATTGCTTATGTACATGTCACTATGTCAGTACATATAACTTAAATTCAGTATCATAATCAATTTTCTGATTCAATAAGCATTACAACACATTTTCTCATACTCCTTGTCTTCAATTCTAGTTATTTCTGCACCTTAACATACACATATCTCTTCTAATTCACTATATAACTTCTTAAAATTGTACATATCAGTGCATATAACGTAAACTCAATATGAAATCATGTGAATTTTTTTTATGTTGTAGGGATGTCATTTGCATGCAATAGCACAAGTGACAGGTGCAGTAACAGCACAAGGAAGGAGCAGTATGTTGGAGGACACTGGATTTAGTTTTGTGAACTGTAAGGTCACAGGTTCAGGTGCATTGTACCTAGGTAGGGCATGGGGTCCTTTCTCAAGGGTCATTTTTGCTTACACATATATGGACAACATTATCATACCTAAAGGATGGCATAATTGGGGTGACCCCCTTAGAGAAATGTAAGTTCTCGTTTCATTTTACGTGACATCGTTTAATTATAAATAATTTGCAAATCTTACTAGGGACATGTGAACTTGTGGTTTCTGTATAAAACTAGATATTTTATGTATATAATATTATCTGTTAATATTTATGGGATAAGAAAGTTAAATGGTGCACTAAGTTGAAGCTCGAGTTACTTACCTAGAGGACTAAGGATCAATTCACACTAGATATTTTTTTTTTCTTTGAAGTGCATACATGTTCTAGAAATTCTAGATTCGCTACTGCATCAGAATGATATGGTTAATATGGGATTTTTCGTGGTAAATAGTTTCATACGAGTATATTTTGTTGGACTATAAGTCTATAACAATCTTAAATACTCTTAACATGATTTGATATTGTCTGTTTTGAATCAAATTAGCATGATTTTACTCAAAATGCTTCGTACCATTAAGAGTATCCAACATATTACAAGTAATGAATTCATTGCTTTCAATAGTATCTCTCCATCCTTAATCAGATGTGTCAAATTTGAGGCATGATTAGAAAAAATGCTGATAGAGAGTGTTTCCCCCTTAATAGCCTTACACGATGTAAATTTAAATTAATCTTAACTTTAATATAAATATTAAACACTAAATAAAAAAAGCTCTTAAAAACAAAGGATATATCTAAAAATAAAATAAAATAGAATCATGATATGTTTATTGATGCAAACCTTATTTTAGTTTACCTTTTAATACCACTCAAAAGATAGTGCAAGTCCTTACCTAATTTTTTATTTTATTTTAAAAAGATTAAACCTTTTGAGCTATGGATAGCTTTACACTTTTTCATTAAAGAAAAGAATGTAGAACCTAGATAAGTTTATTTTTTCTTGCCAAAATTACCAAAAACCAACCAAACTATAAACTATAGACTAAAGTTTGGCTAAGTTTATAAGTCCACAAATTATAATAAAATTATAAAATTAACTTTTTGTTATAATATATAGTAAGCATGGGACGGTGCTGTCCTTTTTATCTGATACCTATATATCTATATATATACACTATGGTATTGGAAATTTGTCATATTAACACACTTTTTCCAGCATTGCCACTACCTTCACTAATATTCCACTATCTCCATAAACAAATTATATCTCATATTTTATATTTTGTTAGGTCGATTATATAAACTTTCACTTATTATATAATTCGAGTCGAAAGTAGTGAGTAGATATGGTCACATCTATTATCTACCGTTGAAAAGTTGCATCTTTCCATGTGACCCTAAGGGGTCGTTTGGTGTGAGGGATAATACCAAATAGTCCCGGGATTAAATTATAGTACCGCTTATTTTGTTGTTTGGTTGGCAAGTTCGGGATAACTTATCCCGGGATTAATAATTAATACCGGGATAAGTTATCCCTCTCTTGGGGTGGTATAGTAATCCCGGGATAACTTATCCCGGGATAAAATAGGTAAATGACAAAAATGTCTCTTTCAACCCTTTTGTTATATCACTTTTTACATTAATGAAGGGTATTTTTGTAAACAAATAAATTGTTCTTAAAATTTATTATTTTGAATAAAACAAACCAAACACTCAATAAAAAATAATCCCAACACAACTTATCCCATCATAACTAATCCCAACATAACTTATCCCAACATAATTTATCCCATCATAACTAATTTTCAAACCAAACGACCCCTTGTATATTCTAAATTATCAACTATAATCCTAACTGTAATGCACAATAATGAAAAAAGGGGTTAATTAGCTTAATTGGAAATAATTAATGATTTCATGCATGAAGACAGTGTATTAATTATGCTTAAACACTAATCATTGATTAATTATCATAGACAGGTCCCCTCATGCAGATAATTTTTTTATTTTATTTTAATTCCCTTTGTATTTGTTTATGGAGTATTATTATTACATTACTATTAGTACTTTTCTACCATCTTCATCAATTTTATTATTACTCATTGTTTTCTTTCACTACGGTTATCGTCTAATATATGTGTTTCTTGAGTTGAAGGTCTATTGGTATCTCTATCTTCGTAAACATCACACTTTTCAGATCTCACTTGTAGAATTACATTGAATATGTTGTTTTGTCGATTTTTATTATTATTAATTATTGCTATTTTTTAAAATTATTTTTGGACAGGACTGTATTTTATGGGCAATATAAATGTAGTGGACCAGGGGCAAGTTTTGCAGGAAGAGTTTCATGGTGTAGAGAATTAACTGAACAAGAAGCTAAGCCTTTTATTTCACTTAGCTTTATTGATGGTTCTGAATGGATCAAATTTTAATAAATAAAATTTATTCCCTACAATTTTGTATTTTATTTTTGGCTTGATTTGTAAAAATCCATGTATCTTGTAGTAAGTTCAAAAAGGCATAGATTAGAAAATTTTTGATGAAAATTATGTTAATTTAAAGGTGAGATTTTCTTTTGATTAAAATGGTTGAAATATTATATCAAGCATTCTACCATTAAATGTTTAAGGTAAAAAAAAAAAAGAGAAGATATTATCAGCTTCTATGTACAAATATATACAATATTTTTCTTTTATGACATTTTTTTTTTCAATTTAAGAATTAATTAAATGGACATATAGATTATTTTTGACACAAAGTATATGTTAGGCAAAAACGGCGGAATTTCAGTCATATGTGTCTATCTGAAGTTCTTGCATATACGATTGAAGTTGTCTCGAAATGGATTTTATGTGACAAAAAAAATGGTACAATAATTGGTCGGGTGACTTTCTATGTAAAATATCAATAATTGAGTGATTTTTTAAATTAAATACCATTACTTAAATGCCTTTTGAGTAATAAAACAAAGTTGAGTGACTTTTTGCACAAAAAGTTATTAATTTAGTGATCAAAGATATTAACTCAAAAATTTATGCAAAGTGAACTTGCAACTTGCTCATATAAACCAATGCGAAACTGGTCAATTCAAGATGATTTTTAACACACACAAAAAAAAGTTTAAAATTGAAAAAAAAGAAAGAAATGGAATACTAAAACCAAAAGAAAAAGAAAAGTAGAAATGATTTGCTCACCAAAAATGACAAAAAAATAAATAAATATAGTAAATAGAAACAAATATTGTTAGAAAGCTATCTCCTTTTCAACAAAAAATACTTCCATCCGGATATTCCGGCCAATTATTCTCATTTTTTTGAATTTTGAAATCAACCACTACAAAATTTCATGTAGTGACAAAATATGAAACTTACTTTTAACACATAATTTGAGGAAATTATTTATCCATCATTCCATCTTACCGTCTAATTTTACTTGTCTAGTATTGACTTCACACACTTTTTAAGAAATAATAAATAAAAGGAAAAAAAGGCTTGATATATCCTTCAACATTGTCATTTAAAGTTGATATACCTCTCGTTATAAAAGGGGCTCACATATACCTGTGATTACAAGGGGTATATCAGTTTTACGATATCATTCTTTGAAACTAATAAATTCATTTTTAGGGAAATACATTGGAAAATGACTACAGTCAATAATAAGAGTAAATTCTCTCTTAACTTTCTAAACTAGACAAGTAAACACCAACAACTACTTTAGTTTCGAATAAGTAAAAGTGGACGGAGGGAGTACAAAATAGAGTCATTAGTTTTTACAGAAAAAGACAAGAAGTATCATTGACATTTGTGTCCCAACTAACAATAATTTATAAATTCTTTTGGATGGAATGCACATCGAAAAATGAACATAATTTTTTTTTTTTAAAAAAAGGAGGGAAACAAGTGATTAATCATTTGCACAATTAATTAATACTAATAAACAAGTTTTTTATAGTATTAATAATTACACTTACCAACATTAAAATCAACCTCGAAAATTAGTTCAATGCAATCTTTAAGTCACATTATGCTTGTAACTTTACAAACAAATATTCCCTTTTGTTCTATCTCTCTCTCTCTCTATTCTCTATCTATTCTCTATCTTAAAACTTTCACCATTACTATGACGGTCGTGCTCGTCTTGGACTGGTCGATGCAATTGTTAATAGTCCCTTTCACCTTCTTTGTACTCTTGTAGTAAACTCTGATGAATTTCCGAGTTTGCTCATAACAACATTCTTGAAATTGATACTGATTTTTTCTTGTGCTTGCGAACACGATCTTTGCATTTTAACACCACTTAATGAAACCCTAGATTCCATCATTTCATTTAATGACATTTTTTTCACCTTAGGACCTAACTCTGGCCTTTGTTTTGGTGCACTATGAGATCTTAATTTAGCCTTAAATGATTGTGTTTTAGCCATGTAATTAGGATAATAATTATTATTAGTGTCATAATAATTATTCCTAAAATAATGACTTTCAACACAAACACTTTTGGCTGTTGGTGTATTAGATCCACAAGAATTTGCAAACCTTGGTGTACTTTGGGCTGTTCCTACTGGTTGTTGGGCCCAATCTGAGGCCCATGAAGGTAGCACTTCTTCAAATGGATCATCACATGGATTAGAAGCCCAAGTGTTTGTTCTTCTGGATCTTGATTTGGGCCTTCCAGTATCCATTTCTACAATTTTAGCACTTTCTTCATTTATGTTGTTAGCCTCAAATGATGATGATAGCCTTCTACTAGGCATTTGTTTTGTACTTCCACTTCTTAATTCTTCAAACTTTTCCTATAAATCAATGGTAACAAAGTTAGAAAGTCGGAGACGGATTTATGACGAGTTCTGTAGGTAAATGCAGATTCAAAATTTAAACATGACAGACTCAACACAGAAGGTATTCACATCGAAGTTGTTTTACTTTGAAAATTGTGGTACAGAACATGATACTCGTTGAAATTTTAATAGATTTTCACTATTTATATCTATGTCCAGTATCGAAAATGAAGAATAAAAAAACTTTCACTAGCCATTTTCAGCCCTATCTTTGAAAAATAGCCACTTCAGCCCTACCTTTTAAAAAATAGCCACTATGATGAAATTTCAAATTGCACAAGTGAAACTCTATGATGATGTCTTGAAGTTTCACTCGTTGAACTTGACAGTCAATGAGAATGACTATTTTTCAATTACAAGGACTAAAAAGTATGTAAACGGGAATTTTTTACCCTGAAAATGCTAATTCAGTTGAACCTATAATATACGAGCTTCATCCTCATCATCATTTGTATGATTTATCATTTTGGTTTAAAGAAAAAGACAATCTGACGCACAAAGCAACACAGTTCAAAGAAGGGTCTCATCCCAAGGAGTGGGAACCTAAACTTCCATGATTCAAACACGTGACATATAACTCACACGAAGACAACTTTCACTGTTATTCCAATACTCTACTCCGAGAAAAACCGAAAACATACACATATAATAATATCATAGAGGAGTCTAGATTAGGGATCTTACAAGTGATTTTCTTGGTTGAAATTGAGAATTTTGATGATTAATGAAGAAGCCTCCTTTTATTTTTTGGGCACGAACACTTGCTTGTGCTCTCATTAATGCTTGCATACTATAAAGTGTAGCATTAGCTTGTCTTCTTACCAAATAACCCCTAACCAATGCTTGTAATTTTACTAATCCTTTTAATGCCCTCAATGCCTTTCTTGCCTGTTATTAACATTTCAACAACAACAAAAAAAAAAAAAAATATGTAAATTTTTAATGAGTTTAACTTCTATATATTAACCGATCAAAAAACATGTACATATCATCTAAAATATAATTATAAAATAATTGTTTGTCCATAAGTTATTAACAACTTGAAAAATAAAACAGATTACCTGTTACAACAGGAGGCGAATGAATCATATATATATATATATATTTTATTTTTTTTTGAAGTTAAAATTCGAAAAGAATATTTGAAAGTTAGTGTCATGTTTTAAGATGAAAATGAATTACTATAATTTTGTGAGAAATAAAAACTTGAAAAACCTCTAAAAATGATTTTTGGAACTTCAAATTATATACTTTACAGTTTTGAAGTTGAAATAAATTGTCAAGCTGATAAACAAATATTATTTTAATTATTTTAAAACCAAAATCAATGATATAAAAAGTCAAGTAAATATTGACGATAGATATTGAAAATTTATCTTTATATATTTGTTTGACAGTAAATTTTGATTAGATTTAAAAAAATTAATATTCAAATATTTTCAAAAACGGTTTCACTAACAAAATTTTAATTTTCTTATAAAATAATATGTATATCCAAACAAGTGGTACTTTATTAAAGAGTTGCATTAAATAAAGAGTTAATTCACTTAACAAATGATTAAGCAATTATTATGAAGATTTAGTGAATTTACCAAAAAACCACGAAACACCGTTTGAATTTTGGTTGCAGCCAATTTTTCCCGGCCATACACGGCGGATCTTCTGCCTTGGCTAGTCAATTTCACCACCGCCACCGCCGCTTGTGCCGCGGCGACGGCAGCATCCGCCGCCGCAGCGGTGGCCGCAGCCACCGCAATTGCATGCTTGCTCTGTTCCTTATCAGATTCGTCACCGTAAAAAGAGCTCAGCCACGCCGCTTCCGCCGGAGTAATGTTGGGCGGAATAGTCGTCGGATTGTGACATAACCGGTCGGACACGGCGGCGACGGCGACAGCGGTGGTGTCTCTACCGGAATGCCCGAAACATGTTGTTCCAATTTTGCCCTTTTCATCAATCTGTAATTTTTTAATACCAAACAAACCTTTCAACCACTTGATTGCTTTGCCCATTTGGGGATTTTTGGGAGAAAATAATGGAAATTTTTAACTAAAAGGCTTTTTAAAAGAGTGAAAGTGAGAGAAGAACTTTTTATAAAGCTTTAATATAATCCAAAGATTTTGTCATATGGCTGAAAAGTTGTCATAAAAAAAGGAAAATGTAAAAGGTCAAAAAAAAAAAAAGTAAAAAAAAGTTAATGAAATTGAAGTTCAAATTTATTTCAGTTTGGAGTTTTGAATATTACAAAAATCTTATATAACAAAATGGTTTTTACATTTATGATTTTATGCAGTAAATTATATGATCGATGTATACTAGTTACACTTTCAGAGAAAATAAATTATATTGTATTTGTTTAACTATAGTTAATATATATCAATAAGAGGATAGTCATAGTCCGATATATAAAGTAGTATTATATATTCTCGCAGGATTTAAAAAAAGATTGATGTAATTTTTTTTTTAGAATGTAAATTTGTAATCTATAGGTCAGTCATACGAAAAAGAATTTTATCATTGTTTTAAGACCTTCTTTAAATGTACATGTCAATGACCTAGTCACCTTACTTTATTATTTAATTATGATAAATTAATTTGATGTAAATAGTGTAGGATATAATTTTTAAAGGAGGGAAGATTCTTCTAAAAATAAGTAATTGACAAGGACTACTCTTCTAAGGGTTGGGTAAAAAGTCCTTTGATTGACAAAGAAATAGGTGTACTTACCTTATCGCAAAAAACTAATTTTCAAATTCAAAATTGGTTAGAATATAATAATAATAATAATGAGAAGAAGAAGAGCCACACTTCAATTTCGAATAAGTTAAAATCAACTATATATGTTAATGAGTTTTAAATTTTAGCCTTTGGTTCCCTATGAGGGAAATTGACATAAATAGTCGCTTACTCAAGAATTTTTTTTTGATAAATATATATTATATACACATAATTTATGGATATATTATGTATACTAACAAATGGATTAAATATGTTTAATTGCACAACTAATGAATAAATTTCATTTTATTTTTATTTTTCATTCTCATTCGATATTTGATACCCACATTAAAGTCAAATAAAAAATCACTCTATTAATTATTTTTGAACTCGTAAATAGTATCACCTCTATGAAAAATGCATGTTAATTTATATATAGGAGTAGTTGTTGAGATCGCCAAATTATTCTCCTTTTAAAAAGAAGCTTATTTTAGTAAAATAGATTATTAACTAGACTTAAAAATTAATTTTAAATTACCAACCACCAAACACAAAAAAAAAAATATTAATAATAATTTAAAAAAATCCCCTTCTTTTTAATTTATATAATATAATTCAGACTTTGTGAATCAAATTTATTTATTTTGATTGTGAACTCAGATATATAATTTTTAAGAATACATTAAAAGAAATTATAAATAAAGAGAATTGACAATTAGAAGGCCATACAAATAAACCGTAATTTCTTATTATTTGATTTTTAAAATTAAATTATATTATATAAATTGAGATGAAACGATAACTATTTTTAAAAGGCAAAAAGGTAGTGAATTATTGATAGATAAACAGTCAAAGCTAATGCGTCCCCACTTAAAGACTTTTTAGACTGAAAAAAAGTGAGAATCAGATTCTATAGAAAATTGGAACATTTGTAATTTTCATTTTTCTCCAATTAAAAACTCAAGAAATAAAAAAGAAAAAAAGAGAAAAAGACTAAAGATGGAAAAAGTGGAGAAAAAAAAAACTTTATGGAGCACAGTGTATTAATTAAATAAATAATTTGGAAAGATAGTGATTTAATTGCATGTTTTAAGAAGAAACTAAATAAATTAATGGGCAGTCTTGATCCTATTCCTATTAAAAGTATCTGTAAAAGTGAAAATATTTTAATCGATCTAACTATTAAATTAAAAAAATCCATATGCAATACAGGATATATACAAGTTTTATTCGATATAAAACATTGAATATGAATAAATAAGTTTTAATTAAAGTATAACATAATGTGTCGTATAATTTTTATCACTATACATCAAGAATTTATTTAATGATGAATTATAAGAAACTAATTAGCTACGAATTAATTAAGGTGATAAATTTTATTGCTAATTAAGTATATCTTATTCATGAAATGAGGCTATGGAAAATACTCAAGTGATATATGAAGAAATTTATTCTTCTTTTCTATTTTTCACCTAATAATTAATATTTATATTTAAACTCAGTGAAATTTGAAATCACGCATTATATGACTTGTTTTTAAGAACAACGCTCCTATTTTTTTTTTAAATCACTCACTCAAATCTAAATTTTATGATTAAAAATGAAGAAACCTCGATTCATCTTACCACGACCAGAGATACCTTTGAGTTAGGCTTATCTGACACCCTCGTGAATGCTTGGACAAATTTAGAAGTACATATTCTTTTCTTGACTTTGCACCTCTTCTCATCTTGTACTTCTTGTATACTAAAGAAAAGAATATATATATATATATATATTCTCTTATTATATAAGAGGGAGTTTATGATGGGACATTGTGATGTCCAATCATAAACTCCCTATATAATATATAATATATAATATAATAAATCATTTTTTCTACTATATAATATATATTTATTTTTCTACTATAAGGGAGTTTATATAATATATAATAATATAATATAATAAATCATTTACAAATGACTTAAAATATTTCATATTTAAAGGATATATAATAAAATAGGTTCACTCTCAAAATTCTAACCGGGTCACACATATTGGGACAGAAAAAATAACATATATCATTTTAAAATTATCAAAAAAGTATTATAAATAATAATAATTAACAACTTAAAATATTTTAAAGACATTTTAAAAGGGTTAATTTTGTAATTGTAATTCTACTATTATATAAGAGGGAGTTTATCATGGGACATTCTATGTGTCTCATCATAAACTCCCTATATAATACTAGATATAGGACCCCGTGCCAGCACGGGGCCCAAATATATATTTTTTTATTTTAATTTAGGTCATATTATGGAATTTGAGAAGTTATTGAAATTTTTATTTGATTTTAAAAATATTTTAAATTTTTAGCTATTGTGATTTGTAGTACTTTTTTTTAACATAATTTAGAAAAAAAAATTTATTACTCTGTTTGTTATAATTTATGTGGCACACGCAGAATTTTAAATATTAAGCATTTTTTATATGTCTCTTTAATATATTAAGTTGTTAATTATTGTATTTTATTGTATATTTTGAACCTAAATTTTTAATAATATATGTTATTTGCCATGTCCCAATTTATGTGACATTAATTGATAGATTTGTTGGAGTCGAGAGATTTATTTTGTTAATTATTGTAATTTTTATTATTTTTTTCCGTCAATTTCAAACAATATATGTTGTTAATTGATAGAATACTTTTAATGTAATTTTTTTTTAAAAATATGTGTGACTCTCCATGTCCCAATTTATGTGGCACATGTAAAGTTTTGACAATTAACCAAAATTTTAATACATTTAAGAAAAAAAAATTAAGTCGTTAAATTTTAAGTAATAAGTAATTTAAATTGTTGTATTATTTATTACTATTTATAATACTTTTAAAGTAGTTAAAATATTGTACAATTTATAACACTTTTTTTAAAAATTTATGTCATATTATGGAATTTGAGAAGTTATTGAAATTTTTATATGATTTTAAAAATATTTTAAATTGTTAGCTATTGTGATTTGTAGTACTTTTTTTAACATAATTTTGAAAATAATATTTATTAATCTATTTGTTCTAATCTATGTGGCACATGCAGAATTTCAAATATTAACCCCTTTTTATATGTCTCTTTAATATATTAAGTTGTTAATTATTGTATTTTATAGTACATTTTGAACCTAATTTTTTAATAATATATGTTATTTGCCATGTCCCAATTTATGTGGCATTAATTGATAGATTTGTTGGAGTCGAGAGATTTATTTTGTTAATTATTGTAATTTATAATTTGTTTTTCGTCAATTTCGTCGACTATTTTTTTTATTAATTATTGTAATTTATTGTTTCTTTTTCGTCAATTTCAAACAATTTATGTTTATCATATAATCCATTTTATGTGGTACCAATAGAATTTAGAGAGTCAATTAAATTTTGTATATAAGTTTTAAATAATTAAGCTGTTAATTATTGTAATGTATAGTATTACTTATAGTATTTTTAAATATATTTAAATATTATATGTTAGGTTTTTTATCCTAATTTATATGGCATTGATAGAATTTAAAGTGTCAAATAATTGTTAATTATTGTAATAGATAATATGGAGTATTTAAGTCATTTATAGTATAGTAATTAATATATAATATGTAGTATTTAAGTGTTATATTATGGAATTTGAGAAGTTATTGAAATTTTTATATGATTTTAAAAATATTTTAAATTCATAACTATATATTTCAATGTACAAGATTTTGATAAAATAAAATCTTTAAAGTTAAATTATAATGTTTTTGAAATTTAAATTATTAAAACATATATAATGATTTTATAGAAAAAATAATATCATATAAAATTAAATGAAAAGGATAATAAATTCAACTTTTACCATGATAAGGTTGAAAAGTATTATTTAAGTGGAAGGAGATGGGGCCCACTTTTGGTAGTAAATCCTAGACTCTTCTTATTTAAGTGTTATATTATGGAATTTGAGAAGTTATTGAAATTTTTATATGATTTTAAAAATATTTTAAATTCATAACTATATATTTCAATGTACAAGATTTTGATAAAATAAAATCTTTAAAGTTAAATTATAATGTTTTTGAAATTTAAATTATTAAAACATATATAATGATTTTATAGAAAAAATAATATCATATAAAATTAAATGAAAAGGATAATAAATTCAACTTTTACCATGATAAGGTTGAAAAATATTATTTAAATGGAAGAAGATGGGGCCCACTTTTGGTAGTAAATCCTAGACTCTTCTAATATATAGTAATAGTAATTTTATATGATTTTAAAAATATTTTAAATTCATAACTATATATTTCAATGTACAAGATTTTGATAAAATAAAATGTTTAAAGTTAAATTATAATGTTTTTGAAATTT